CACACACACACACACACACACACACACACACACACACACACACACACACACACACACACACACACAGAATCCACTTCATCAGCTGCTTCCTAGTGTTCATGGGAGCAGCTGATGGAGTGGATGGTGTGTGTGTGTGTTTTTGTTGACAGTGAATGTTGGTGTGTGTCGCTGAATTTGGCTGATTACTCTGACGGCAAAGAAAACAACAAATCAGCTTCTCTTAAACTCACAACTTTTTCTGAAACAAAGAGATAATCAGAGTAACTTCCAGGATCCTCCATCAGTGGGTTAGGCCACATCCACCTTTTCTCTTTTTCTCCTGAACAGCTTTGATGCGTTGCTCATACCGAGGCTCTGAGCTACCTTTACATTTGGCCTCTTTTCCTGTGTTCAGCTGAATGAGGGTGTTTTTAAATTGCTTCCTGTCAGTGTGGACAAGCAGCACCTGAAAACTCCTCACCTGTCTTCAAGTGCACACAGCCTTCAGAGAAAGCTGTTGTATCTCTGACATCTGCATTTTGGTCGCTACTCACACCTGGTGGTGACAGGTGGGGGTAGGGACATACACTGTTGGACTGGGCCATATCATACCATTCACGGTAATACCGATGTAATGTTAGGCAGAAAATGAAATGTTAGCGGAGAATGAGAAGAGCGAAAGTGGATCGTTGAATGAAACAGATGAACCATAATTTGTTTGTAAAAATGCTGCAACTTCCGTGGTGTGGAACAGGTTTAGCTTTCGTCCATCAGATACACAGCAAAGCACTATTTTTGGTAGAGCATGCTAGCGGGCCGTCGTTATTACCGAACTGATTTTATGTACACGGCGCTCAAAAATGTTTTAGTATGACTTTGCTAAGCTACGTAGCCGCACCGCTCGGCTTGTCGGAGCATTACAGCTATCGTAGGCAGGAGCCTCGCGGAGTGATACGTACTGTGCTTCAACATAATATTACCGTATTGTGTGTGTATAACCTCTTTTTAAGTTTTGTGGATATTCTACATGGTTATGCTGAGGATATGTCGGCCCGTTTCCACTGGAAGTGCCTTTTGGTTAAACTGTCAGCAAGGAATTTGTATTTGCACTGTTACATTTCTATATAACATTAATGCACATAAAAACAGCTGCTTGTTTAAGTAAAATACATGGATGGTTTTTTTTGCACTAATAAGGTTGCAGAGTTGTAAAGTATTCTGTCTCGCGTCGATTATATCATCAGTTATATAGTTATCGCAAATTTTCAAATATATATTGCGATAAACCTTTTTAGCGATATCGCCCTGCCCTAATACACTGGGAGGTAACTAAACAGCTACACCTTCACACCCAGTTCAGTCTGCACCACCTTAGACCAGTACAGCATCCACATCACACCACATTACTCCTTCTGTCAATCTCCTGTTCCCCTGTAGTGACCGAACTCCTTGAGCCAGGAACCCCTGCCAAACTCAGAGTCTGCCCTCCACCTTTGTGGCTGAGAACCAAGTGCACTTACACTCCCCCTTAAGAAGCTGAATGTTAGCCTTCTTTATCCAAACGTGTGCCTGGGATCATCGTCCTATTGGAACACCCAACTGTGTCCAAGCTTCGACCGAGTAGCTGTTGATGAGAATATTGAGGTGTTCCTCCTGTACCTGAACCACTGACAGCCCAGACCATGAAGCTACCACCACCATGCCTCAGTCGCACAGAGTCCTTGCGCTTGAAAGCCTCCAAAATACAAAATGTGTGCTGTACAATTATTCCACCGTGGAGGCAGAACACCCAAATCCAATGAATGGATGAACTTCTGATAACAGCCAGCTACAAAACATGGCTGGTGTTCGATCAGCTGGTCCTCCCATTTGATCAAAGAACCGGATTTAAATTATATTATTAGTCTATAAAAAATAACAGAGAGCTCAGAGATGATCTGGACCTTCAGCCAATCGTCCACTGTTCACTGAAGCCTCATCAGAAATGTCTCAGTGATGGACAGCTGTCAGGAAGACGTTCTTAATGAAGGGAAACGGGAAAATGACGAGAACTGGACTGAAGACCAGAGGAACAGGTCTGCTGGACAGATGGATCCACATCATGGTCAGTGTGTACGAGGAGATCAGGAGGTGGTCCCACTGTCTGCAGCCATCTGTGAGGCACGGTGGAGGTCATGGTTTCAGCTGCAGGTCAGTCAGTGGTGTTGGAGATTTTTGATAAACTCATGAATTATGAAAAGTGCCATGAACAGTATCGGTCATGGATGGGCCTCCCCAGAGCCTGGAGCTCAGCATCACTGTAAACTTCACTGAAGCATTGTGGGGTCATCCTGACAGAGGACACAACAAGGCAGAAACATCCAGAGAGCTTTGAATGTCCTTGAAGAACCTCTCCTGAAGATCCTGCTCAGAGAGCTGAAGGATGAAGCTGCTCAAACCAAATATTCCCTTTCAAACTCGTTACAAAAGTACATTCAGTTTTTGCCTCATTTACTGTGTTTCCATGTATTTTCCTACAAAACATAACCAAATGAGGGCTGACTCTGACCAGAAGTATGTGGAAACGTCCACTCAGCATTCATTTTACTGACACTGCAGGTGACAGGTGTGTGTGCTCAGATACCTCCGTGATGCGGTGCAGGTGCGACGATCACACCCCTGGTGTCGACCTTGGGGGAGTTCTGTCCATACTTCCCGTCATCGCTGCTAATCACATGGATGGCGTTTCCTCGCCCGTCCAGCACCGTCGCATTCACTGTAGCGCTCACAGACTCCTCCACCACCATGTTTGTGTCAGAGCGCCCTGCTGACACAGAGCGAGCCTGCACCGGGACCGGGACCAGGACCAGAACCGGGACCAGGACCAGGACCGGTGGGAGGGGGAGACGGGTCCGCATCCTCACAGCGTCTCCTGGTCACATCCAAACTGTGAGAAAGAGAAACAAAGTTTATGAGTCGGGCAGCAGCAACGGCTTGGGAGCTTCCTCTGCTTTAGGAAACAGGAAGTCCTCAGCACTGTGGATTTGTCATTTATCACCGTGAACGAGACGCGGGCTCTCACCTGTCACTGAGAGTCTGTCCTCCAGATGTTGGTCTCTTTGTTTACATTAATCCTCCGGATGCTGTTTCCCGGTTGGCTCTCCAGAGGATGATGTGTTATTCCTCTTTTGTCCTCCAGATGATCCTTTGTCTCCAGATGTGAGCTCGTGTTCGTTAATCTCTGGGTTCAGGCTGGAAGGTGCAGCTCGGACATCTGGAAGGCCGGAGCATCAGCAGCAGGCCAATATCTGGTGTTTGCATCCCGGAGCCTTGCGCTGGTTGGAGCCCGGATGGTAGCTCGTAGGTCGGGGCAGAATAGCTCGTTTTCAACGGACTGCAGCCGCCTGCGGTTCCGTTAACAGTGACTGAGCCTCCGCCGTCTGCCGCCAGGTGCAAGCAGACACAGCGGCGGGCTCCCGCTCACCGCGCTCCCCCAGAGGTTCGGTGAAATGCTCGTGAGAGGATTTGGCTCGTGCTCGGTGTTTTTTCCGGTTTGCCGCCGGTGAAAGCTGCGCGCTGCGGAGGATCGAGCCCCGTCTCCGTCTCTCCGATCAGCGAGAACTGCGCGGGCGCACACTGAGGGGCCCGGGCTTCATGTTTTGTAGCTGAGATTTGGATCAGCTGTCGCGATACCTGCAGAGAGGCGGAGCTAATAGTAACAACGACGACGATGTCGATCGCTTATTGATCACCGACAGGTTGTGGATGTCAGCTGTAACAGTGCAACGTGAATGAGCAGCAGCAGGCGGTCAGCACCGCCCCCTGCTGGACATCGTCAGTACATGCAGGTGGGCTCAGTCTATCAGGTAACACTGACCGACAGCAGCTCACAGGTGTGTGTGTGGCTTCAGATAAATCAGACAGGTGGCGCTGCTGGTGCCCTGCTTTGGAGCAGACCTGCTGAAGCTTCATGAGTGTTTGTGATGAGATCAGTTGTCCTGAAATATCTCACTCCTGTATAAACTCTTACCTGTGCAGGTAAATGCAGTACATGAGGTTGTTTTAGTGACCTGAGAGCCACTGATTCCTTCCAGAGCAGCTAAAGTCCAGTTTGCTCTTTTGCAGGTGACCTTTGACCCTTCTCAGGTTTTATTTTGTGCAGTGTTGTCGTCTTTTCTTCTTGCTCTGAATTTTTAATTTTCTTCAAGCTCCTGCTTTATGATTCCTTCCAGATGTTCCTGCTGTGCTCTGCAGGGCACACAGAGGCCATCTGAGCCTGAGCTCGTGTGGAGCGTCAGACATGAACAACGCCCTAAACTTCTGCATTAGCCACAGACGGGAAGTCTGCTTATCAGCTGCTAACCGCTCGGGAAGATGGAGATAGTTTCTCACTAGTTAGTTTCTGAGGACTGAAGCAGAGCTGCACGTCTGAGTGTGACGTCAGTGTGAGGCCAGGTGAGAGCAGTGCAGGTAAGTCTCATCATGTTTTACAGGTTTTGTTGTTTATTCAGTTTTGTTTTTGATTTTGAGTTTTCAGAGTTTCTTGTTTCAGTTTTTGAATGTATTTTTTCTTTTTGCAGTAAAAGTGGAAAATGCTTCAGAGTAGAAACGCAGCTTGCCCCACTGAGCTCTGATTGGGTGTGGGTTGTGGAGAGGATGGCGGGGAGATAGTAGGAAGCAGGTACGTCAGGACTTCTATACTTCTGAGGACATAACAGTTTTTAAAAGTCTACAAACAAAACCAGCTAGCCTGAAGTGAGAAGAGGAAGACACGCACGGGTCCTCAAAGAGGCACACATACCAGACACAGACACACACTTGGATTGCATCACCAGGGGAGGGGACAGCACAGCAGCTCTGAGATCAGACAGAACGCCTCAGACCACAGACGGGACTACTACTGACAGCATTACTACCAATACTACCAGTACCGCTGATACTGGGAGAGAGTACTGTCAGTACTAGTCTGAGGTGAACTGAAAAACATCTGCTGCAGCTGTGACTCAGTGAAGAAGAAGAAGAAATACAATGAGGGGGCTCACTGGGACTCTCCTGCTCTTTGTCTGCCTGCTGGCGTTCGTCTGTAGCGTCTCTCCTCCTCTTCCTCACCCCACAGATGAATGTCCTTTTATGGCCATCCGTGAGTCTTCTTCTCTTGTTCCCGTGAGCGCGTAGGCAGGCTGACAGTTTTTACTGGCAGCTTTCAGAACCTGAGGGCATTTAAACAGAGTGAGGATGCACAGTGTTTACAGAGGGTCAGGGTCGATCATTTACTGACACTTTAGACAGCAGAGAAAAAACATGTACAAACTTAAAAGTCTGAAAATACTTTGTGTGCATTTGAAGACACTTTTATAAAATTCACATGTTTAATCAAACCTCTCAAATTAAACTGAATTAGAATACTTTATTGATCCCCAGGGGAGGTCATCAGACATGGAGAGACACCTGCTGTGTTTATTAAATGACCTTCAGTTAGGACCGGCTGTATATGTGTGTAATACCAATACCAATCAATGTCTGTGAAGGTTCTCAGTCATCCAGGTCATCGTAGTCAAAGGAGCTTGGAAAGAAAAGCGTCTGGACTTCTTTAAGTTACTTGAAGACGTTTCACCTCTCATCCGAGAAGCTTCTTCAGTTCTAAGGTCAAATGGTGGGGAGTCCCAGATTTAAACCTAGAGGGACAAAAGGACCCCCTGATGATACTCTAATCGCCTGAGCCAAGGTGTGAAACTGGGCGTGGGTCCCAATCAGCCAGGGTTTCGGGTGAGCTCATTGTGAAACCTGGCCCCATCTTATCATGCGAATTCCTGAGGTCAGATGGCCCAGGATGTGAGTGGGCGTTAAGGCGTCTGGGGAGGGAACTCAAAACTGGATTATAGATGGCATAGTTGGTGTCGTAAACCACCGCCTCTGTTCAATCAATGTAAACTTTATTTAAATAATTACTTTTTACAGACACAAGCTGTGCCCCAATTCCGAGGCCACATCCTCCTGAGGACCCGGCCTTCACGGTCTACGTGGGCCGGGTCCTCCGAACATCGAGAGCGCCGAAAGTGAGTGGCTGTGAAATGGGACAGTCTAGGTTTACGGCACCGCTGCCTTGGAGGAGTTTAATAAACTCAGCCGTCTGCTCCTTGCTAGCTAAGATATAACAGGACACTGGAGTAAGGTCTTCTGTGATATCAGTTTTCTGTTTGACGTTTATTCAGCTGTGTGAAAACTGTAACTTTAATCTCAGCCAAACCGATTTACTCAGGAACAAATAAAACACTGAAAAAAGTCAAACAATAACATTTTTAAGTCATCTGAGTGACTTGTATATCATATCATGTTTAACCTGAGTAGCCAAAGACTGCAGGGGTCTGAAAACGATGTGCCCTATCGAGCGGGTGGGTAACAGACGTCTCAGAAAACATCGGAGCACTTTTACAAATATGTGATGTCTTGATAAACCGAGCAGATATTTGAAGTTTACACAGCTACATTCTCGCCTGGAAATATGTTAAAAGTTTATTTTGTGACCCAGAAAGAGTAATAAGAGTAATATTAAAACTAAGCTGAAAAACAGGAAAACTGGAATTGGCTGGGCCGCGCTATCAATTCTGGGATACACTGGGCCACGAAGGATACATCCAACAATCATTAATCAATAATCATATTGTAAATGTCTCTGAAGTTACAGGCTTGTCCAAGATCAATTATAGTCTGTCTGAACCTGCATGTGATCATGTGCTGATGCAGAACACGGTTCTATTCTGGTGATGAGTCTCTGCTGGAAACACAGAACACACCTGAACACCTGTTCAACCAATCACATTGACTTTACTCTGACCTGATCTCCAGGTCTCCTTCATCAGCCTGTGGGACAGGAAGCTTTAACGTTCCCATGGATCCAGTTTAAGTCTTACAGCTCTAATGTGGAAATAAACATTAGAAATAAACAGCAGCACTGAGCGCGCTCAGACACAAAATCATTCATTCAAATCGTGGTTTAACATTAATTACTGTTAGAGTTTTATGGTTTTTATAGATTTCATCTGACAACATCTCTGATTGGTTTGAGTAGCTGGAAGCTGTCCTGAACTTTGTTTGTGGTCACACCCCTCTGGTTTCTCTGTGACGGTGGGTCGTCTGGACTGCTGATCACAAGGCATCAACAACCCCCCCTCACTAGCCCTCTCTGTGCAAACACATCCACTTCCCCTTGACTGAAGCTTTGTGGAAACCTTTATGGAAAATGAATGTGCATGTAAAGTACCAACACAGTTCACTCATAACTTTTTGTGTCTTTGTACACTGTACTAACAAAATCCCACAGCTCACCATTTGGGATGTAAAAGGTTAGCGTTCATCCAAAGTAAAGTGGGTCTTTAACAGACAGGTGAGGTACAGAGGTCTGCAGAGAGAAGGAAGTTCCTGCTGAACAGAAGCACAGAGCACTCTGTTAGCTGTCCAGTTTTATCTCAAAGGAAGCAGGAAGTGCAGCTAACAGGACATGACAAGCTCCAAAAAGTCTTTTTAAAAGAGGTCTTGGCACTCGGCAGCCATCTTGGAATGAACTTGGGCAGTATGCCACCGTTCAGTGATGATGGTTCTCACAGGAGCGACATGACCTTTCTGTGTAACATCGTTAAATCTTTGAGCACAAACAGAAAATCTGATACTGGTGCCCAGCCACGCTGGGCGAAGTTGCCGTAGATGATTCAGGCTGATCAGGAAGTTTCCCAAAGTATGAAAAACAACTCAGCAAGTCGGACACACTCGGGGACCCAACACAGGAAGTTTAGCTTTTAGCCACAACTGACTCATACTCAAAGGAGCTTGCAAAGAAAAGCGTCTGGACTTCTTTAAGTTACTTGAAGACGTTTCACCTCTCATCCGAGAAGCTTCTTCAGTTCTAAGGTCAAATGGTGGAGAGTCCCAGATATAAACCTAGTGGGAGTATCCCCCCACAGAGGGACAAAAGGACCCCCTGATGATCCTCTAATCGCCTGAGCCAAGGTGTGAAACTGGGTGTGGGTCCCAATCAGCCAGAGTTTCGGGTGAGTTCATTGTGAAACCTGGCCCCACCTTATCATGCATACCTTCGCATGATAGGTCCAGGGACACAAAGGCCAGACACCACATGGAGCCGTACATGTTGCCGTAAAAGATCGCCATGACAAAGCGGCAGAAGGGCTCGCCGAGCTCCCAGTGGTTCCCCCGGAAGTGGTAGACGATCCGAAATGGCAACACCATGAGTAGCAGGCAGTCGGCCACCGTCCGATTGATGAGCAGCGTGGTGGACGGCAGCTGTTTGGTCCGGAACACCAGAACCCAGAGAGCCAGCAAGTTGGAGGGCAGACCGACCACAAAGGCGAGCAGGTAGAGGATGGGCAGGTACAGGTTGGTGGCTGGAGCCTGGATCTCCTTCAGCTGCTTTTCCTTCAGAGTTGTCCCATTACAGGCAGGCCTGAGCCGGAAGGTCCGCAGACCTGCAGGGACACAACACACATCAGAGCGTAACAGGTCTCCCCTTAACCCGCTAAAACTGATGGGAGCGCGAGCACTCCCATCAGTTTTAGGTCAAACTTTAACCATTTAACCACTGGCTCAATTGCAAAATTCCAACTGTTCCTGAAAGCAGCAACTCTGCGCTTGCATTGCAAGTCGCAACATCCAAATCTCGGCAAATAACACAGAAAACAACAAAAACAAAACAATTTTAAAAAGATGGTAAAAAGAAGTTAAGAACCCAGATGACTGATAAAATGTCTACAGCTCCATCACACTCACTCACTCTCTCTTCTCTCAGCCAACCTCTGTCTTTGCAGGGTTGCCTGAGGGTACCGTAATGACTCCAACTTTACTGAAAAAGTGAAGAGTCGCTGCTTTCAGGAACAGCTGGAATTCTTTCAATTGAGTTACATATATTTTTTAAAAAAACAAAACACCTGTCCGATGGCAGCGACAGGTTAGGCTTTGGAGCAGGAGTGGGGAAGCTTCTCGGATGAGAGGTGAAACGTCTTCAAGTAACTTAAAGAAGTCCAGACGCTTTTCTTTGCAAGCTCCTTTGACTACGATGACCTGACTGAGAACCTTCACAGACAACTGACTCATACCAACCTTTGATACATCTTAAAGATAAATATCAGTCAGTCCTGCTTGTTTGCTGAGCAGTACAAAGGAAATCTCCCTCCTCTGTTGGAGACATTTGTAAGTCTGACAACTTTACTGGCATTTATCAAACTGTAGGAGGAACACAAGGCTGCGTGTTGGAGGTGATCAGTGTCCACACCACAGATATTCTGAAGACAGGCCAGGATACCACAGCGGTCTAAATGTCTTCACATGTGATTGAATTTCACTGATTTGTTCCACTGTGAGCTTTGTCAGCTTTTATTTTAACAGTCTGGAAGAAGAGTTCAGCATCAAACTGCATTTCTGTCCAGTGGAGGAAATCTGTGTTGGTCTTTAGTAAACATCTGCTTTAACAGTTGTATTTTCTTCTTCACTTGATAAAAATGAAATCCAAAACTCACTTTCCAGGAATTAAAAATGCACCTGCAGTTCCCCTGTCATCCAGCCGTGGCTACAGTAGTGAGTCAGTCCCCAGAGACACCCATGTTAAAACTTTACAGCAGAAATACCTATACGGGGGGAGTGTCCTGCAGGTTTCAGATGTGTCTTTGATCCAACACAGCTGATTTAAATGGCTAAATGACCTCAACAAGTCTTGAAGTTCTCCAGGGGCCTGGTAATGAACTAATCATATGATTCTGGTCTGTTGACCAGGGTGAGATCTGAAATCTGCAGGACACCGGCCCTCGAGGTTGGAGTTCCCCACTCCTGCTCCAAAGCCTAACCTGTTGCTGCCATTGAACAGGTGTTTTTTTTGTTTTTTTTTAATATCTGTAACTCAATTGAAAGAATTCCAGCTGTTCCTGAAAGCAGCGACTCTTCACTTTTTCAGTAAAGTTGGAGTCATTACGGTACCCTCAGGCAACCCTGCAAAGACAGAGGTTGGCTGAGAGAAGAGAGAGTGAGTGAGTGTGATGGAGCTGTAGACATTTTATCAGTCATCTGGGTTCTTGAGTTCTTTTTACCATCTTTTTAAAATTGTTTTGTTTTTGTTGTTTTCTGTGTTATTTGCCGAGATTTGGATGTTGCGACTTGCAATGCAAGCGCAGAGTTGCTGCTTTCAGGAACAGTTGGAATTTTGCAATTGAGCCAGTGGTTAAATGGTTAAAGTTTGACCTAAAACTGATGGGAGTGCTCGCGCTCCCATCAGTTTTAGCGGGTTAAGGGGAGACCTGTTACGCTCTGATGTGTGTTGTGTCCCTGCAGGTCTGCGGACCTTCCGGCTCAGGCCTGCCTGTAATGGGACAACTCTGAAGGAAAAGCAGCTGAAGGAGATCCAGGCTCCAGCCACCAACCTGTACCTGCCCATCCTCTACCTGCTCGCCTTTGTGGTCGGTCTGCCCTCCAACTTGCTGGCTCTCTGGGTTCTGGTGTTCCGGACCAAACAGCTGCCGTCCACCACGCTGCTCATCAATC